AACGTCTCTTTGTCGATGAGGCCACCGGTTGGGCAAGCGACAACTCAATGAAGTGGGCTGAAGAACATGGCATTGAAATGAGAATCTCACCAGGGCAAGACCACACAAGAACAAGCATTGTTGAACGACGACATCAACTTCTTCGAAGAGGTCTTGCAGTTTTCATCCGTGAGCATCAGTTGACAGGACTTGTTGGACTCCAAGATGCATTGAATTGGATTGTCCCTTCTTTGAACAACAACACCTTTGTCAACGGCTACACACCGTGTCAATTGGCTCATGGCAGGCAACCCAATGTGCCTGGTTTGCTGAGTGATGAACGCACCTCACCTCTTCAGCTGCAAACGACTGAACAAGAACGGCTGTACAAGAAGCTTCAACTACGAGCAAGTGCACATGCCGCATGCGCCAAAGCTGAAATTGATGTCAAGCTCAGAAGAGCACTGCTGAGAAGGTTCACTGGCCAAAACGAAGACCTATCTACAGGAGAACGATGCCTCTACTGGAGAGAATCCAATGATCGGTTCCACACAATTCAATGGCGTGGTCCTGCAGTGGTTCTAGCTGTTCAGCGAGATCCTGATACCAATGTGGTTGACACATACTGGATTGCACACGGAACTTCGTTGTTGAGAGCTGGCAAGCAGCATGTCAGGAAGCTTCCGAACCTGCAAGGCTCCATCGGTTCCACAGAGCGAGCAATCCAAGCAATGGAAGGACTCCGACAGCGACGTGTCGTCCGCATCATCGATCTCGAAAGAACCAATCGCCAAAGTCTAGACGACATGGACCCTGACCACGCAGAGGCTGAAGAACTCTTGGCTCCTGAGGTAAACATTGACTTGGAACCACTCCAACATGAACACCATCAAGCACCTCTCAATCAAGGAAATGCTTCAGAACCTCCAGGTCCAAACGAACCTCATGGTCAGAGTGAACCACCAGGTCATAACGAACCTCTCGGACATCCTGAGAGAGAACCTGATGTACCAATGGACCCAGGTCAACTTCCATCAGTTCCTGAAGATCAAGATCTCGATGAACCACAACAACAAATGCCACCGTCAGTGGCAGAGCCAGATCCTGATCCGGAGTTGGAACTCGATCCACTATATGCTCAACCAGCTGGCTCTCAAGAAACCTTTGAAGAACGTCGACGTCGATTTGATCAACAAGAAACCATACAAGCTCGACGAGTTCATCCAGTGGTTCCCATCACTGAGCCAGCAGAAGAGCATAGAAACAAAAGGATCCGAAGACCACAAGAAGAAGATCTTCAAGTTGACACCGACCTCCTGGCCCTTGATGACACCATGAACACCGACAGCCTCAACAACTTGGTGGAAGGCTGGTCGTTCGACAAGGCCACCGGAGAGTTCGTGCTGGGTGAAACAAAAGACTATTGGAGTTTTGAAGATGGCTTTCTTGTTCGCAACCATGTGTGGTCCAGAAACTCCACCTTCACTTCCGAAGAAGCACCACTTCCAATAGCAGCAGAAGAACTTCAATCAACAACTGGTTTGACCCTGCCAAATGGATCTCGCCAAGTTTTTGTGAACAACAAGGAGACCTACTCAATTGGCAAGGATCAATGGGTTGGCAAAACTCTCTTCCCGCTCACAAAAGAAGCAGCACAAAGCCGACACCTGCCTTATGCTGGTGATCTCAAGGACAAGCTCAACACCCGTTGGACGCTGCGATGCCGTGGGCATATTTGGGCTGCAGTCACTGCACAAAAGAAGAAGCCAACACCCACCAATGTTGATGAGAAGAAGCTTTCCTGGGAAGATCGTCTCGCATTCGTTGAAGGCAAGAAAAGTGAACTGAGCTCGATCTTCGAAAATGGTGTGTGGGAGGTGGAACTACATCCACACAGTGTCGCTCCAGATCGCATCCTTCGAGCAAGATGGGTTCTCGCTTGGCGCACTGGAGCAGGAGGTGAACAACGAGCAAAAGCACGCCTCGTCCTCCAAGGGTTCAATGATCCTGACCTTCTTGAAGGAAAGTTGGAAACAAGCAGTCCCACTTTGTGCCGAACAGCTCGCCAGACTTTGTTGGCCATCGCGTGCAATGAAAATTGGGAAAAGTGGGTGAGCGATGTTGCAACAGCATTCCTCCAAGGCGATCCTCAATCTCGTCAGTTGTGGGCAAAGCTTCCTCATGATGCCTGCAAAATGTTGAACTTGGAGAGTGGAGCGTTGATGAAGTTGAAGAAGCCGCTTTATGGTCAAGCTGACGCACCACGTGAATGGTACAAAGTTGCAACCAGGAAGCTCCGACAGTTGGGATTTGCACCTCATCCCCTCGAATGTTGCCTCTTCCGACTGTTCGATGAGAATGACCGCTTGGTATGTTTGATTGGCCTCCACGTTGACGACATGCTAGGTGCAGGCGATCCAAGCTCATCGATGTACCAAAAGGTCAAAGGTGATCTTCGCAAGACCTTCGACTTCAAGCACTGGAGCGAAGAGGCAGAAGGCAAACAACTTGAGTTTTGTGGCTGCAAACTAAAGAAGACTGATGAACAAACATGGCAATTGCACCAGGAAGACTACATCCCTGGAGTGAAACCTCTGACAACGACGCCAAAAGGAGACCATGATCCTCTATCTCCAAAAGAAGTGTCAGCACTCCGAGGATTGTTGGGAGCACTACAGTGGCCATCAACACAGTCGATGCCGCACTTGAGCGCTTCAATCTCCCTGCTTTGTGGTAGCATCAACGGTGCAACAGAGTCCATAGCAAAAGCTGCAAACAAAGCACTCAGGTTTGCCAAGAACAACAAGGACGCCTCCCTACAGTTCACAAGATTGGGTGATTTGAATGAACTATGTTTGACCGCCGTCAGTGACGCTGCATGGGGTGTCCGCCCCGATCACCTGAGCCAAGGAGGATACTTCATCCTGCTGTCCCACAAGGACGTTCTGCAAAAGAGTGGCGATTTCAAGTATGTCATCCTCGACTGGAGATCATACAAGTTGCCACGAATCAGCAGAAGCAGTTTGAACTCTGAGTCTCAAGCCTGCAGTGCCGCCATGGATTCCCTCGAGTACATCCAATTGTTTTGGGAGGGATGTGTCAACAGCTCATTCACCACCTCAAATGTGGATGAAAGAACTGGTCGACTACCGTGTGCACTTGTGGTCGGTGCCAAAGCCCTATATGACTGCCTTAAAAGCGAAGCACCACAGTTGACTGGGGACAAGCGCACCCAGATCGAGGCCTTGGTGATCAAAGAGAAGATGACCACCACAGGATGTCTCCTGAAGTGGATGTCCAGTGAATTTCAACTGGCTGACGGCCTTACCAAAGTAGCTTCAAGGCAGCTCATGGCAGACCGCCTACGAACACACATGTTCACCCTCCAGTCCGACCAGAGCTTCACCGCTGCCAAGAAGAAAAGTCCAAAAGAGCGACATGACAATGCACGCCGCAATGCATTGACGAAAGCTGAAGCCCGAAGAGGATTGGCAATGATGATCATTTTGGGATCATCAAGTGTAGCACAAGCAGCAAGTGAAACAGGTGATACCAACGAGACCTACAACATGTATGTTTTCATGCTGTTTACTGCACTCGCCCTTTTTGGTGCCTCTCAAGCTTTCATGAACATGCTCAAGGCCCTTGTGAATGCCTTCGGCAAGGTGATGAACGATGAGAAGTCCCAGAACGTGATGGACATGGAAAGTGAAGAAAGTCATGAGGTGGTAACCACAGAAAGTTCCGTCCAGACGACAGAACAACTTCAGAAGCTGGTGCCGACCCGACTTCGTGAAGAGAATGAAAGATTGAGAAATGAAGTGAAAGAGCACATTGAAGCAAATGCAATGCTCCAGCACAGGATCAACTACCTGGAAGCTGAAGTCCATCGGCAAGATGATCGAATGGATGAGTATGAAGTTGGTTTGAGAGAAGCAACCACCGAAGCACGACTCGCAAATGCGTCATACCAACGCACAGTTCAAGCCCTTCAAAGCCTACAAGGCCAACACCATGTCCTACAGCAAGAGCACCGCAGAATCCAGAACTGCAGAGAAACTTCGATTCCGAAGGAAGTTTTCATGACCACACGTGGAACAAAGTTCCATGTAGACCCACAGTGTCCAGCATTCCACAACGCATCTGGCCAGACGGCCATAGAGAGTTGCAAAATCTGCGAGAAGCAGATTGAAAAGGATCGCTGGTGAAAGACTTGACCTAAGGTCAAAAGTTCTTCTTTTTCCACCAGTGTGAATTTGAAGCAAGAAACAAGATGTGAAGTCATTCCATGATGACTGCGCTCGATTCGCACTCGTTCTCGCGCCGCTTCCTCAAGCGCGCTTGGGCCACAACATGTGGCTGCTCGTACATGAGCCCTGAAGGAAAAGGCCCCTTTTGTTGCAGACGGAAACCTAGAGCGTTCCGCATCGACGGTGAACTCGGTTTGATCTCCTTTCGTGTTCCCGTGTTTTCACAATAAATGTTTCTCATGATGTGGGTGGCAGTGGAGTGGAGTCATCTGAATGAGTTGAGATTTAGAAGGGGTTTGAGGATTTGGGAGGGATCTTGGGGTGCCCCAAGGGCCCACCATGGCACACATGGCACATGATTGGCTGTGAAGGGCAGGGCACCCACTTCGTCAGTCGACTGTCGCAGCGGAGCGTCACATGAAACACAAAGTAGAAACAACTTGTGTTAATCTTCGCATAAGCATTGACAAGCATCCAACTTTGTCCATGTTGCCTCTACCCAAAGCAGCTCTGTCCTTTGATGATTTTGATATCTTTCTTCAACTCCCCCGCGCCATAAAAAAGAGAAGAAACAACGCCCGAACAAGGCACATTCCCCAAGCAGCTCTGTCATTACTATGCCGTCATCTGACGTCTTTCTTCAATCCCAACCCAAAAAAAAACACACGAAAGATAATCCACAGCAGCTAGCTACTGAATACTTAGACCCTTGGTTACAGGGTGGGACACACACCCACACCCACGCACGCTGTCTGCGCGCCGTGTCTGAAGTCAGCCGGCCTCGTCGGGGAACTGCTGCAAGGGTCGCAGGCACAAGACGCAAAAGCCCAACGCCGTGGCCGCGTGCAGCGCCTCGGCGCGGAGCGTCTGCTCCTCCGCGCTGGGCCTCGGCTCCTGCGGAGGGACGGCCCGGGGGGGCCCTGGGGCCCCCGGGAACATGACGTATCTACCAGGACACCCTATAGAGGGGTGTCTATTGATAGGCCCTTAGAGGTGATATAAGGTGTGTCTATCAAACCACCCCGACCGTGGGTCCTAGTAGACGACATGTGTTAACTTGATGTGTTTTCGTTCTTCCGCGCTCGCTCTGAAGCGAAGAAGAGCGCGGATGGACTCCCACTCGAGTGTGGGGGGATGTGGGAAGCACGTCACGTGTTCCATGGAGCTTAGATCATCCTATGTAACATCAGTGGATCACAGGTCCCAAAGACTGGCTGACAACTAGCTCCAAAGGCTCGAGCATTGGCAAGTGTAGCTACTTTCCTGCTTTCTCAAACTGATGTGGGATTCTCAGTTCATCAACAGCGGAACACTCAAACACCTTTCTGGTCCATGAACACTCCTTTCGTGTTCACTCACCTCGCCCGGTCTTCTCCTTGGCATGGCGTGAAAGAAGCTCCAGCATCTCTTCTTGCGCCACCTTGCCGCTTGGCCCAAACATTGCACTGCAGGAAACCCGGGTCAGCCCAGGGTGGGGAAAAACACACAAGTCATCTACGTGCCGAGTACCAAAACCGGTTCAGAGTGTTCGTGCCACTACGCGTCAACACCTGAGGGTCTTGTTGGGAAGGATGCGGCAAGGCTTCTTCTCCTCACCGCCAAAAGAAACTGGGGCACATCCCATCGACGACAATCGTACGTATGCCGTATAGCTGACCTTCCCCATGTGAACCAAACAAACCTATAGGACGCCCTAGCATGATCCAGGCCAATGTACTATACTAAAAGCATCTAAAAGCATCTAACATCTACTATGTAAGATCTGGGTAAGTCTTCTAGTTTCAATGGATTCTGCAGGCTTTCTTCTCCAAAAAGAGAGGAGAGAAGTTGTTCAGGGCCTTCACCAGCTCGTTGAGCTCTTCAATGGACCTGGCATCCCCCAGATGGAGCCACTCGCCATGCACGTGCTTAAAGAACTCGCCGAAGAGCCGTTCGAACACGAGGCGCTCGCCTGCGGAACATCGAGCGTGCTTAGCTGGTGAAGAGCCATGGTTTCCGGTAGAAGTGTTCCCTTTGTGACGAATCTGTTGACTCTATATAGAGAGATCTTTGAAGACTACTAAAGAAAACAACATGATCGTGGAAGGACATGCACTGATGTAGTAAAGCAACCAGATTGTGAGACTTGCACTGGCTGGTTGAAACCATGAATCTTCACTTGAGGGAACTAGCGCCCTCGCCAGCTGCCCGCCATGACATTCTCCAAATCACCCAGTCAAATTGGTCAGCTGGTTTAGGATTGGCTCAACTAAACCTTAGGGATCCAGTCGTGCCTCCTCAACAGGTACTTGGACCCTTAGGGAAAGGAACCGAAACCCACTGCTGGACGGTCCCTCATCGCAGCATGGTGATGGGCCCGCTGAGAACCCGCCAAAGTTGGACCACCCCAGAGTGACGAAGAACTCGAGTTGCATCTCTGATCCTGGAACTTCGTAAACGGGCAGTGTCACAACCAAAAACACTGCCACATATTCTTAGAGATCTTCCATGATAATGATTCTGGATACCAGCTGTACCTCACCCCTGTACCCCACCCCCTTCCCAACAAGTCTACAACCCTCCATCTGCGCACCTCTGCGCGCGCAGGGCGTCAGGAACTCCCGCACCTCTGCACGCGAGGCGCTTCCCGCGTCGACGCCGCTTCCGCCGAAGCGCAGCGCGGCGGCGAGGCCCTGGGCAGCACGGCAGGCCACGTAGGCAAAGGGAAAACCTGGGCAACGGGGAAGGGACAAGACTTGGATCGGGGGGCACATGTCGATCTCTCCAAAGTAGACAAATGACACAAGAGAACATGCAAATACAATGCGCTTTGGTATCAAACCAGGGCCACAGCACTGACTCAGCCATTTGGGGATCTGAACTGGAATCGCCACCTAGATGCATCCGAAAGGTTCACACCGCTCCAGAAGAAATACCACCAACATAGAACGACTTCAACAACCACTGCCAGCTTCTTCAGTTCGTGACCTTTTTGGAGTCCCTACATTAAGTGACCTTTTCCAGTTTGTGACCTCAAACCAGCAAATCAAAAGGTCACTTTGAAGAACCAGGGGAGCTCAGTTCCAAACTCTGTGCCATCCACTTTCACCTCAAAGAACCCCCCACACACACATCCCAGCGCCCTCGTCCACGCGGCCGTGAGTGGCTACCGCCGCGGCGGCGCGGGCGAAGGTCTGGGTGCGGCGCTGCGCCAGGCAGAGGAGACCATCGAGGGCCAAAGAGGCGCAAAGCTGAAGACGCAAGGTCCTTGGTGCGTGGCTGGGTGAGGTGAGAGCTGGCTGGATGAGGTGCTTTCAGTGCCCAAGCAGGAGGTGGGAGCTTGGAAGTGGTGGAACTATGTGGAACTGGCCTCCGATTCGGTGGATGATTCCGTTCTTGAGGCGGCCCAGAACTGAAGTCGAACATCATATGTATACGATGGGTGGCTGTGGGTGGGAGGTGCATTCTCGTTCTGAGGCTCCATTGATCACCTGCAGTTCCATGGTGAGACCTCCCAGTTCTGGAGTCCGTGTTCGCCCAGCCGCCCACCATTGCGGACTGGTGGCTCGCTGGAAGCCCACATTTAAAAAAAAACACTCCACAGAAGGTTCATGGTTAAAGAAGAGCAGAAGGCTCTTCCACCTGCTTTACACTCCCCGAAGCAATCATGGAAGTGGAACATGGCCTCTTGGAAGACTGTTTTCCTCTGCAAACCGGTGGTTTTCTACTTCCATGATTGTTTCAGGGAGGGTTGTTCCTTTTTTCACCTGGCTTCTGCCAAGCTAGAAGTTCGCAAATTCACCAGATTCCTGATGGTTGGCATTCTTCCACTTGACCCTCCACTGTGACTACTTTGTCTGTTATCGTGGCTCTTATAGCTAGTCCTGTGGGGCTCATCAAGGTTCACCCGGGTCACGTCCTTTAGATTTTTCCAACATCACTAAGTTACTTTTGGATACCTCCCCATTTGGAGTTCGAAAAGCTCTCCACGCGCTAACGAATTGCGACGTACCCAGTTCGTGACCCCAAAGAACGCTGCACCCGACAAGGACCGAGTCCCAGTCCCAAAGTGCGTTTGGAGGTGAAGTCGACTTTCCAAAGACCGTGCCATCCACTTCCATGGACTGTGTCATCAGCCAGACACGACCCATGGGACTGCCGAGAAACGGCCAGGGGTGGTGCCAGGGGGGCCAATGGGGAGGCATATAGGGCATATACATCGAGTGTCTGGGTCATGTAATTCCGGTAGAACTGCAGGACTCCCAAAAAGGGAGCATTTCAACACCTCATCCAGTGACTGGAGGTGTTGAAGCCCATTCCTACCTACACACAACTCCATACAAACAAACAGGTCTCCCAGCTAGCGGCCCTTTCTCCCAGGCTCTGCAACTGTTGCTCCACCATGGCCTTCTTCAAAGGCCCCAAGGGTTCGCTCAGAAGCCGGTGAAGCTGCAGCAGTCGTGGGTCTTCCACACGCACCTCCTCCCCCGCCTGGGGCGATCGATCGCACGACAGCATGGGGAGTGATGCCAGCCCCCCCCAAGAGAACACACACTAGAAAACCACGGACCAAATGGGGGGGAGGTGTTAGATGGTGTTTAGGGCCTATAGGGTTTGGCGGAATTCTTGGACCCAACACGACCGCTACGGAGTGGTGGTTCCGGTCCCAAAAAGCGAATGAGACTCCCTGAGGTCGTATTTTTCGGTGGCTTAAGAGGCACAGTTCAAGAATGACAGGCCTGAGGTTTTGGGTGATGTTCTAGTCCTATAGGTCAGTTTTCCGATTGGCTCGTCCAAGCAAGGTGAACCCAAGAACCCAGAAGCAAACCAGGGGCTGTGGTTGGCGAACATGGTGCGGTGTTTTGGGGCAGGAAGCCACAAGCAGAAGAGACCAAAAAGACATACCTGGAGTCGACCACCTCGGAAAATGCGTACAGTCACAAGTACAGTCGTACCTGTCTTTATGGGGTCATGTCCCATTTTCTAAGGTACTTGAAGTCAGGTCGAGGTATGAAGAGAACGGCAAGCTTTCAGTTTCAGTGAGGAAGGTTTCATGTAGAATCACAGAGTATGTAGAATCCGACAGTGCATGTAGAATCTGGCAAACATCCCCCTTGTGGAGGTCTCTGGAATCCGTGACTTCATTTTATAAGGAACAATCATTTATAAAATGGAAACCCACATGCTGCTGCTTTATAAAATGAGAAACCGACCTTTTTATATAATAGTGACCAGGATTCAGAGACCAAAAAAAGAAAATTTCAGAGGCACCTTTTGTCTCTTTATGGAATGGCGTTCCAGATCCAGTGATCATTTTGATCCGAAAATGGCCAATGTTTATGGAATGCAGAGCCAGGTTCGGCTTCATCCTCACAGGATCTCTTGCGACAGACTCAAAAATCCTCTGTGCGGACAAGTCTGTGATTCTAACTTTCTAATCCCCCTTGTGGAGGTCTCTGGGGTGAGGGATTTGATTTTATAAGGAAAACCCATTTATAAAATGGAATCCCTCAGGCTGCTGCTTTATAAAATGAGAACCCGACCTTCTTGTATAATAGAATGCCACAGAGAATGAGCAAAAAACATGAAATTTCACAGACGCCTTTTTTCTCTTTATGGAATGGCTTTCCATGAGCAGGTGATCATTTTGATCCGAAAATTGCCATTGTTTTTGGAATGCTCAACCATGTTCAGCTATCCTCTCAGGATCTCTTGCGCGGACAAGTCTGTGATTCTAACTTTCTATGTAACTTCTGTAGTTCTAACTTTCTGTGATTCTAACTTTTTTACAAACCACACAGGGCTGTGTCTGGCTGCAGAATGGATTAGAACGGCAGTGTTGTTGGAGGTGCTGGGCGACAAGTTCCACCATGTTCATCCATGGCTGTTGTTGATCCTTGTTTGTTTTGGTGACTGTATTGTTTGGATTTGTTTGGACATGTTTGGACTTTGAATAGTGTCAGTGTCATCCCTTTTTTTCATTGATTCACCGCCCTGAGTGGAGGGTGTGAACAAATACAATCGGATACAATGGGATGCAAGGGGAATGGTATATAAAATGAGTATTGTGGGGAGGGTGTGGACAAATACGATGGGCTTTTGGGAGGTGACAATGTTTAATGGATTTACCATCTTTTCCCTGGGAGGGTGTGCACAAATATGATGGGCTTTTGGGAGGTGACAATGTTTATAAAATGGGTTTACCACCTTTTTCCTGGGAGGGTGTACATAAATACGATGGGCATGGTGAAGTTTATAAAATGAGGCGACCCAACCTCCGGGTTTTGTGTCACTTTTTTGCGCTGTGGTTGGCTCCCTTACAATAGTGGCTCTACAACCAAGGTTTCTAATGACCTTGGTTTGCATGGGCCTATCACACCATAATGAGCCATTTATGGTTTAGCCGTATAGTCGCAATAGGCTCCCTGAAGGTAAATCCTATGCAGGACTAGTTTCTGTGAATTCTGTTTGAAGAAGAATCACACTCAAAACATCTCAAAAGAATGAAAGGCAACCTTAAATTTAGAAACATAGAAGCAACTGTGCAATTTAAGACAAGTGATAGCAACCGAAATCAATCATCTCGACAAACTTGCAAGCAAAAACATGTGAAACACAACAATGCCAAAAGGAAAAAACACTGCACACATAAATATGTTCATTGATGTTCATTGAACATTTTGACATGTTTTTGTGTGCTGATCAACACCTGAGCATTCACCATGTGCCACATTCAAGTTGTGCATTGTCTTTGGCACGGGAAATGATGGGAAATGGATGGAAATGTTTTGATTCGGTTGCTATCACATGTCTTAAATTGCACAGTTGTTCCCTTGTTTTGATATTATAAAGCTGACTTTCATTCATTTGAGATGTTTTGAGTGAATTCTTCTTCTTCAAAAAGAGTTAACAGAAACTAGTCCTGCATAGGATTTGCCTACATGGAGCCTATAGCCACAATAGTGCTAAACCATAAATGGCTCATTATAGTGTGATAGGCCCATGCAAACCCAGGTATGTAATAGAAACCTTGGTTGTAGAGCCACTATTGTAAGGGATCCAACCACAGCGCAAAAAAGTGACACAAAACCCGGAGGTTGGGTCGCCTCATTTTATAAACTTCACCATGCCCATCGTATTTATGTACACCCTCCCAGGGAAAAGATGGTAAACCCATTTTATAAACATTGTCACCTCCCAAAAGCCCATCGTATTTGTGCACACCCTCCCAGGGAAAAGCTGGTAAACCCATTTTATAAACCTTTTTCCCCCTCCCAAGGCCCATCGTATTTGTCCACACCCTCTCAGGAAAAAGCTGACA